CTACTACAAATTATGCAGTCGGGTTTCCACATTTGGGGAAATCGCAGGGGTCAGCCCATCTGCAGTCCAATGGATATGCCTTGGCTTTTCCTTCTTAGTCTCTGTTGCTAGTTCCTCATCTCCCTTTCCTCCAAACACTGAGTGCCTTAGGAATCAGTCCATCGACCTCTTCTTTTCTCTAGTTGGTTACTTTCTTGGGGATGGAATCTAGTCTTGTGGCTTTAAATACCATCTGTCTTCTGTACCTCTCTAGTTTAGAATTTTGCCCGCTGTGATCCATATTTATATATCCAACTGCCTACTTGGCATCTCCACTTGTGTATCTATTAGGTACCTAGAACTAAATCTGAAATCCAACTTCCTCATCTTCCCTCAAACTTATTTCTTGTATATCTCATTAAAGGGCAACTCCCACTTTCCAGTTATGTAGGTGAAAATCTTTTTTTTTTTTTTGAGACAGAGCCTCACTCTGTTGCCTGGGCTAGGGTGCCATGGTGTCAGCCCAGCGCACAGCAACCTCAAACTCCTGAGCTTGAGCTATTCTCTTGCCTCAGCCTCCCAAGTATCTGGGACTACAGGCACGTGCCACCACGCTTGGCTAATTTTTTCTATCTTTAGTAGAGATGGGTCTCACACCTGCTCAGGCTGGTCTGGAACTCCCGAGCTGGAGCAGTCCTCCTGCCTCGGCCTCCCAGAATGCTAGGATTACAGGTGTGAGCCACTGAGCCTGCCCTGCAAGGCCAAAATCTTGAATCCTCTTTCTCTCATATCATCCATCCAGTTCTCCCTACTCCGCCCCCCCCCCCCCCAAACAATCAACTCAACCTTCAGATTATATTCACAGTTTGACCATTTACCACCTTCACTGCTACCATTCTGCTGTTCTCAACACTATAGAGGGCGCTTTACAGCTTGAAGCAGATCATGACACTCCTCTGCTACCGGGATCTGGTAACTTCCCATTACACTTGGAGTCAAAGCCTCAGCTCTCATAGTTTTCTACACTGCCCTGTGCAATCTGCTCCATCAGGTCTTTGCTCAAATGCCACCTTCTTGGAGAATTCTTAGACTGTTGTGTTTAAAGTTAAATCTCCATCCCCCCCCTAGCACCCTCCACCTTTGCTCTCCCCAGAACCTATCAACAACCACTCAGATAGTATCTGTTTTCTTACTTATTCATTTCTTATCTATCTCTGTGTTAGAATAGAAGCTCCATGAAGGCTAGGATTTCTGTTTGGTTCTCTAGCCTGGCATGTTTTGTAGGCGCTCAAAAGATACTTGTTGCCTGGGGAGAGGCAGATTTCCCACTAGCGATTCAATCACAGACTGATTTTTTTTTTTATTATTCCTGGTTTGTACTTGCACATTTTACAACTTTTCAAATTGAAACTAGGAAAAAACCCTTTGAATAAAGAAAAAATAGCTATTATACAATGTAAAGATTTAGACCAAAAAAGAAATAAATGATGAAATGATTTATCATTAATAAATTATTGAGATATTCAAAGGTATAAACACCTTTATTCCATATTCCCGTGGTCTCAATATATTTGGAAAACATTTGAGTGGGTGAAAACATCGTGAATCACACTGTGTGCTGTCTTCCCTTTTTATTGAGCTATGAAAAGGTGAGGAAATAAAGGGAAATATGGAAACTCCACCTGTCAAAGCTCTATATTCTCTGGGATCCTCTTTCATTCTGTAGACTACAGTTTCTGTATCTGGCTAGAGGTTTTGAGGATGACAACCCTTCTTCAGCCAAAAATATTTGCTTTAGCATTTGTTTATACACACATACACAGTCACAGTTACACAATCTCAGATTTCTATGTTTTTCCAAATGTTGGTAACATTTAATTCTCTAATATCGTCTTTGGCATGGATTCCCATTTTGATCAGAATTTCATATCGTGAAATAGTGATCAGGTTTCATGCAATCCAATGATGTTCAAGATGGTACCAAATTTGATACACATGGTGTTGGTATAGATTGATTTTTATCCAACAATAAATATTTCTATTGACTTAATGACTCAAACTGTATTAGAAAATGTAGTAGACTCATTTGCTAATGCTTCAGTTTAAAAAAGTGCATTATTTTAACCAAGCATCCGTTATTTTAGTTTGAACTCTCATGTGAAGTATTCCCCAAATATGCACATTGTTAATCTTTTTCCATTTTTTTTTCTCTGCCCTTTGCTAGCATTACTTAGAGCCTCCAGTGAAACTGAGTGAAGCTCTAGAAAGATACGGACTTAAGACTGAAGATTTTTTTATCTTGAAGCATGGAGAATCAAGATACCTAAATACAGATGATGAAAACTTTGAATAAATATGAGCACAGATGCTTTTAATGAAAAAGGCATCATCTGATATAAATTTGAAAACAAATGAAGACTAAGAAATTTATGAATATTATGATTTTTTACATTTGGAAAGAACTTCTGCAAGTTTGAGTTTTATGTTTTGTGTAATAATTTGCTTACCAATATGATTACCATCTCAAACTATGAAAGAAGGATTTAGGGTGGGTTATTTAAATAATGAATTGGCTAATGTGGATTTTAAATCTTGTATCATGGTATAAACATTGCAAAGGAAATTTTTTACTAAAGCATTCTACTTTTGTGGTAGTAGAATTTTCTGGGGTTATAAAAAACTGATTTTAATTTGTTTTTTCTATCCTTCAGGACCTTCTACAAGGGTAATCAAGGCTGTCTACCCACTGAGATTTTTTTCAGAGGCCTACACATACAAATATCTTTCTTACATTCACATTATAGTAAATGATGAAATTGACTTCCACATGCTTATAACATAGCAGTTCTTGCTCTGTCAAGATTAGCTATATGCCAAACGTTAAAAATGTGATTTATTTTGGCAATCATAAAACCATAGGGGTTCATGCTAAGTTATCATTTTTAAAGACTTAATTTTTTTATTGTGGTAAAATGTACATAACATAAAACTTACCATTTCAACTATTTTTAAGTGTACAGTTCTTTGGCATTAATGCAGCCATGACCACCATAGAGATAAATTTTTAAAAGGGGGAACAGTATATTCTATCGTACATCTACAATCCCTAAATCAAAAGCCCTCTGAGTTGGGTAGAGCATGAGAAAGAGTATGGTTATAAAAATATGATTTATGCAATTTTCTGTTTTTAAATCTAAAAGTCAGACCTGCTAAGCACAGTGAAACATTTTACAGAGATAAATGTAGATATTAAATGTTAATAGACCATATGCTTTGAATTAAATTTTCTCTACATTTTTTTTTCCCCTGGTCTCTTAGCTCTAACTAAATATATCAAGATTTATAAATATTTTATGTTTTACATGATTCAGATGTCTTATATTTTTATAGTAAATGACCATTAAGCATGATTCTACGTTTTATTAAGCCAGGGTGGAATGCCAATTTTTTTTTTTTAAAAAGATGGTGATTCTGGGAGTCAGCTGACCTGAGATTTAGTCACTTGATTACTCTGAACCTTCCTAGGGGAGGAAGCTGGATTAGATCCTGCTGGAGGCCCTTTCTATGTTCCTGATCCAAGTCTCGGCACTTTATTCGTACAAAATAGTCCAAATGGGTTTTCTATACCAAATGCTACTCAGGCAGTTCTCTATAATTTACTTGCACATATATATGCATGCCCAGTTAGCCACTAAATTTGAATTGTAATCCTGCTTTCATCATGGATTTTCTGTGTAACCTGAACCAGTCACTGATGCTCATTGTGCCTCAGTTTCCTCACATGCAACAAGAGGATAATTTTTCCCTACCTCCAAAAAATGTGTAGACTAATTAATGAAGTGAGTTTTTATTTTTTTATTTTTTTGAGACAGAGTCTCACTGTGTTGCCCGGGCTAGAGTGCCGTGGCGTCATCCTAGCTCACAGCAACCTCAAACTCCTGGGCTCAAGCGATCCTCCTGCCTCAGCCTCCCGAGTAGCTGGGACTACAGGCATGCGCCACCATGCCCGGCTAATTTTTTCTATATATTTTTAGTTGTCCAATTAATTTCTTTCTAATTTTTTAGTAGAGACGGGGTCTCGCTCTTGCTCAGGCTGGTCTCGAACTCCTGAGCTCAAACAATCCGCCCGCCTCGGCCTCCCACAGTGCTAGGCCTCCCAGAGTGCTAGGATTACAGGCGTGAGCCACCGCGCCCGGCCTACAAGATGATTTCTTAAGGTATTACTGCCTAATATAAATAGGTACATTTGAAAGCTGAAAATAGGCTAATGCTTTTGATAATCTATTGTTCCTATTGCAGATTTAAACATTATCTATTAGGACACTAAACACTGAAGACTAACAACTTTTATCTCATTTTGTAAATTTGGAGAGGAATAGCCAAAATAAAGGTAAATGATCTTTATCAAACTTTAGTATTTTTATCTACAAAGATGTGAATCAGTCGAGGGGAAATAAATGTATACACAATGTGTGTATATATAATGTAAGTCAATGTATGTGATTTGGGGGCACTAAAGCACAAAAATTCCCCTGTAAAATAAACCTTCATGAAAATGGAATAAGCATAAACTTTTCTACTCCAGATGTGAATAAAGATGTTAGGTTTATGGTGGGTTAGCTTTGAGGCATGTTGCCTGAATACTAGCCAACATGCATCTTCCTTGCTGCTGCACGCTGAATTGGAAATTCATCTTTTTACCTCTATTTTATGAAGTGAGCCAAGTGTCTTGCTTAAGTATATCTTCTCCGTGAATGGCCTTCATACTATTTTTACATTCACAGGTACTAACTGAGGGCCTCTAAGCACTTTAAGTTGTTGTGTTCTAGTTCTGCTCATCTGGCCTGCCTTATTTTTCTAGGCTTCCTCACAAGCTGTAATTTTTTATTACCATTCACATTCTTTCTACATTGACACTTTATTCATTAAGAAGTACACCAAGCTTCATCTCTCCATATAGAATCTCACCCTATTGAGTGGTTTCCACTTTATTTTTTACTTATCTACATTTCACTTATCTACAAAGTGAAAACAAATTTTGAAAAATAAGACAAATGCATTCTCTTCTCTCAATTCAGTTTAATATGCATTGCAATATCTTTCTTTGAATTTTTTATTTTTTGTAGAGACAGGGTCTTGCCATGTTACTCAGACTGGTCTGGAACTCCTGGGCTCAAGTGATCTCCCACGTTGGCCTCCCCAAGTGCTGGGATTACAGGCGTGAGCCACCACACCCGGCCACAAGGCAGTATCTTTTAATTGATCTTATCCTCTAAGTCAATTTCCTAGTGAGGGTCCATACCAATATGTAAGATTTTATTGAAGCTTCCTGTGATAACTGAGGAATACTTTGTTATGCCTCACTGCCTAATAGGGTGGGTCATCAATTAGGAGACATCCCTCCTAAAAAAAGCCAAGATATGACCTACACAAGTAAAGATGTATTTGTGCTTTTTCTTTCTGGATAGTTAAAAATTACTCCCCTTTTTCCTCTAGCATTTTGTCATTTCAGACTCAATGCTCTGATCTTTAGGGAGTGTGATTATTTATTCAAACTAATGATAGAGGAAAAGAAGAGAGGGAGTGCTAAAGCACATTGAAAACAAATCCTGGTTTTTAATGTGTTACATTTTGAATACATACTTTCATTAAATAGGCAGATTTTAAAAACTGTTATAAAGAAATGTGCCTTTTGGGGAATTCTTATATTCATGTCACCAATTACTACTCTAGCCCATTGGAAATTTCCATTTTTCACCTTATACTGAACACTTTTTCTACTATAAAAATATTTCTCTAAGGTTTGATTTCTGTATCAGGACAAGCTTGAGAACACACATATTTCTGTTTGAGGATTTTTGACTTTCTTCCTATGGAAACAGTCTTGTAGCCATGTTATTTACAAGTGAAACTTAAAGTACTCTTAAAGCTTTGCCTTAAACACACAAGTAGTAAAGTTTCTGCTTGCATATTGATTTACTTAATGCTAAGCATGTCAGGGGTTATGAACTTAAATACTATAAAACCTGGCTGAATCCAGATCTACTGATAAATTGTTATAGTAGCTTATAGAATAAAAACCATTGAAAATAACAAAGTTTCATATATTGTAATTTTACTCAAGTAAAATATGGATAAAATTAATGAATAAAGTACTATTAAAGGGAGAAAATATGTTATAACCTTATGAGTGATTTTTTTCTCTTTATTTAAAAAATTATACAATTTAGGCTTATAGTAAAAAATTTAAACAGTAGAAGAGGGTATTCATAGAAGTCATTTCCTCATTCCCCAGTCCTACTCCCAGGAGTTTGGGTATTATTCTAGAAGTGTTCTGTTGATACATAAGCATAAATATTTTTCATTTAAAAGAACACATGGGATCACAGTGTATTTTTCTATACATATTTTTAAAAAAGCAACCACATTTCATGGATATCTTTTGACATCAGCACATTCAGGCCTGCTTCATTCTCCTTAAAGACTGAGCAATTGATTTAATCAACTGCCTAAAGATGGACATTTTGATTGAACCCAGTATTTTGTATGTAACAACATCTTTACATACTGGAACACTGAATGGGAGTGGGTGAGTCCTAGGAAACGTCCTCTCCTAAAAGGTTACGTTTTTCATTGACTAGACATGATTAGGATACATGCTAACGATTAGAACAGACTTTTGAAAGCAGTATGGCCAGGCTGGCAGGTGGACTCAGCTCACAATCTCATTACTACTAAAAGAACAAGGCCATTCCTATGGCAGTTCAAAAACAGTGATTTAGTCCTACACTAATGCTGTCTCAGATGAGTAACTGCAAATCACTTCAAAGAGTAGAAAAGTAGCTTATGTGTAAAAAAGGTCACTGCCACTTCATGTAGAGAAAATATCTAAAGTATGTCAGTAAACAGCAAAATTGAAAATAAATGGTTTCAGTACAAGCTTTTATATTCATTTGGAATCAATAAAATGGTCCAAAATAAACCTGAAGACCATGGCAAGTTATAGCTGTGTTAATGGTGTGAAATGTGATATTTGTTGTTTAAATTCAGCAGCTGGAAGAATCCCCTTATAGGAAAGATGGGAAATAAGCTTAATGTGTGCTATTTCCAGACTGCATTTCTCTTTGGAAGAATATGACCAACCTATCAGATTGTTGGTATTATTGTTACAACCTTTTCCTTCACCTCTGCATCATGGTGATGAACTAGAACTCTTATTTTCTGGGCACACTCTTCTCCATATAACAGGAAAAACAATGAACCGTTAGTGAAAGTAGGCTGTACAGCTAAACGGCCTTCCATTTTGAGGCAGTTATTTATGTTCTGAAATAATGTAAGCACTCGAAGAAGAATCTCCTTTGCTACGTGGCCATCATAAAGGGAAAGGAATGATGAATCCACCTGTAAAAGGAAACAAGGAGTAGTATTTTATATTAATAATATATGAAAACATTTTTTCACATACATTTTCACATTTTATTTCACTGCACTAAATTATTTTACATTTTCAAAATCTTTTCATAGAAAATTGACCCTAAAATTGCATAACTTAAATGTATAAAACCTTATACACCCCTATGTTGTATACTAATGGAAAGAAGTTTTGTGTTTTAGTTGAAAACTACAATTTCCTTGGGCTCCCAGAACATAGTCATTTGGAAACAACCATTTCCTTTTTAAGATCCATCACACAGTTTTCATGGTAAATCATTAATTCACCAAATATTCACTGCCCACACACAGTACAGGGCACAGAGCTGGGAACAAGGATGAGCAGATGAATACGGCAGCCCCTCTTCTACAGGAGCTGAGCTCCATTCCATCTCAGCACCACTGCTGCTTCCTTCAGAACACTCACCACAGCTTTCAATCATCTTGTTTGTTTGTTACATATTTTTGTCTCTCCCTTACACTATAAACTGCATGAGGACATGCACTATGTCATGCTATGCTCACTGCTGTGTGTGTCTTGGCACTCAGCCCAGCTTCTAGCACCTACTGGAGACTCAGTACTGCTATTTCTGTGGCTACTCTGATACATGTGAACAAAAACAGGTCAAGTATAAAAGAGAGGATGGCATAAGTGCACCCAAAATTTGGTAGACAGAAACATTATTTATTGTTGCAAGGAGAATTTTTAAAAAAATACTTTTCAAAAGTAAAATATACTCATTAGAGAAAATTTAGGAAATTTATATATGCAAAAAGAACAAAAAAACCACCTTTAATATTGTTCCTCAGAGATAATCCCTGTTATAACAACATTTTAGGATAAATCTTTACAGATCTGTCTGTCTAAATCTATGTATTTACAAAATAAATATGTAAGCTATTTACTTGGGCACTGAGTAGTCCTTCTGTCATGGCTGGATTTTCAGACAAATTCAAAAGCAGTTTCAAAACTTGTACCTGAAATAAGAAGTATATTGGTTTATTTCAGACCAGCAAGCATGAATTTTCTCTCCCAGGCATGCTGTCCTCTTACCATGTCCTCCTTTTAAAGTCTTGCCTATGCTTCCAGGCCTGTCTCACATTCTCTCTACTCCATGAAGCCTTCTCAATTCATCCTGCTCAAATGGTTTCTCTCTCTCTGAACTCCTATAACACTTGGCCACTCTCAGAGCACTTATCACAGAGCAGTGTCATTTAAACCTTATTTTTTCAATTACACTGTTAGGGAGATAGGGAGAGTTATTACACATGTCTGCACAATCCACTCCTGACTCACACATACACACCTACACATGGTAAGCTTAACGTGGTAAATAAATGATCTTTTTTTTTTTTTTCTCCTTAGAGACAGGGTCTCACTTTGTCGCCCAGGCTGGAGTGCAGTTGTGTGATTATAGCTCACTGTAAGCTTGAATTCCTGGGCTCAAGCAATCCTGCCTCAGTCTCCCGAGTAGCTGAGACTACAGGTGTGTGCCACCATGCCTGGCTAGGTTTTAAAACTTTTTTTGTAGAGACAGGATCTTGCTAAGTTTCCCAGGCTGGTCTCAAACTCCTGACTACAAGCAATCCTGCCACCTTGGCCTCCCAAAGTGCTGGGAATACAGGTGTGAGCCACTGTGTCTGGCCAATAAATGATCTTTATTAGGATTACTGGTAAGTGAAATAAGATCTTTGGAACAAAAAAAAAAAATCTCTCAAAGCTCAGTTCATTTCTACTTAAAGCATGAAAATTTTGGGACAGTTTGATCACTAAGACTAAAGAAACAATAATATGGCCCTTTTCTTTTTATTAGGTTACTATGAATATCTGAGATTATCTTTTTTATGTGAAAAATGTTTTATAATCATTTAAATAGGCACAGTGATATGAATAATAAGCAAACATTATTTAATGGCTGATTAGCTAAAATATCAGCATTCTTATCACTTATAACTGAAAAGTCAGTAATAAAAACATTAAAATAGAATTTCCCTTTTAAAAAGAAAGGCTGTGCAAAACCACACTTTCTGTAAGATACTTAAAGTGAGCAGAAAGGGGGTACTGAAGTCAGGAAAAAGCAACAAATGTGCTCCTCATTAGATCTGGGAAGGAACCTGATGTTTATTTTATAAAACACTTTTTCATTACAAAGGCAGTAGATGCTTACTATAGACCATTTTTTTTAAAAATAGAAAAGCACAAGGAGAAAGGAAATTGCCCCATATTTCTATGACCAGAAATGATCAAGTTTTGGTGTTTTTCTTCTTAACTATACACGTAATCCTATATACTTATAATTCCTTTGATCATGTTGCACATACTAATTTATTTATTAAGGAGGAGGACATAAGGCTTTTCTTAATTTTATTGTAAAAATAGAAAAGCACAAGGAGAAAGGAAATTGTCCCATATTTCTATGACCAGAAATGATCAAGTTTTGGTGTTTTTCTTCTTAACTATACACA